TATAACTTGCAAAAAAAAAATCCATAACTTATCATAAATGTTATTTTTCAAGCACTTTGAGAGAAAAATCACTAATAATAGCATCGACATTTGGGGTTAAAATGATTTTTTTCCTTCTAAACGCATAATAAAATTGTAAAGTATAATTAAGGGTACTATAGTAAAAAGATAATCAATTTTAAAGGCAAATTGAAAGAAGTCTTATAAGAAGGACAAATGTATTAAAAAATAGTCTCGTATATAGAAGTCATATAAGAAGGACAAATATGTATTTCAAAAGTAATCTTGTATATAGGGACAAATGTAGTACAGTAATACTACGTAAGTTAAATAAAAAAAATGACATGTTAATATTGAATAATTAGCAAAATAAAATAAAAAAATATGATGGGTGTATGAAATATATGATTTTACTTATAATTAGCACCTTTTGTGAATCAATTAAACATATTTAATGTGGAATTTTCCTCAATTTTTTTTTAGAAATTAAAAGGAGAAGTGTTATAAGATGTTTGGTGATTTAGGAAGTAAATTCTCTCAATTTTGTGCAGAAAAGAACCTACGTTGAGTTTGAAGTAGCTAGAATAAGAAACGGAAAATTTAAAAGGCTCAACGTCCCAACGTTTGTTCAGCACTTTAGCCATTAAAGGATTGAAGGAAAAATATAAAGCTAAAGACTTAGCGTTGTAGTACTCATCCTAACAATATGACATTGAAATTTGGTGGTTAGAACATAATTCCAGAGATTCAACGTTGCAATGATGATGTTGGAGCTACAATGCTAAATCTCGATAGGACAAAGTATCAAATTAAGGTTAACCTAGCATCGTAGCGCTCAACTTGGCGTCCTAGCAAGAGGTTCTTTCAGCATGAGGAACTCCTCAACGTTGCAACAGTGAGATAGAGTTACAGCGGTGGAGTTGAAATTTATAATTTTTCCCTTATTCCACACAAAAGATATAAATAGCTAGGGGATTGTGAAGAAAGAGAAAGGGGAACTTCAAAACGAAGAGAGAAAAAAACTTGAGTGAAAAAGAGAGCATTTAAGGAAGCATGAAAGATCAAGATCCTTTGGGAATAAGAGTCTTCATCCTATCCATTTGTTCTTTCTTTATCTTGTAATTAATTTCTTGTTATTAATTGAAACTTTCATCATAAGTGACTAATTTCTCGTGTTGAGATTAAATGTAATTGTCAAACACTTATATAATCTTTTGAATTTCATCTATGTAATCCAACTTTTTATATTATGTTTAGGTTCAGTTCTTAATGCTTAATTTTATTTGACCACTCATCTTTTGATTTAAGAATATTGAGAAGTTGGTTGAAAAACATCTTGAAAATCTTGTTTAAATCAACTCACCTAGCAACTTCAAGCATTAAGAATAAATTTGAGGTTGTTAACTATTTACGACTTCATGTTTAATTTAGGAATCTAATTTTGATAAATAAGAAATCATAGATCAAGGTTAAATTATTTGGGAATCAAGTTTAAGAAATCAACGTGAACAATTATAATAGATGTGAGACCATGATAAACTAAATTCATATCACTTAAAAACATAATTTGTGAGCAAGTGCACTTTAATCTCAATCTCTCTTGTATCTTGGTTCTTTTAACTTGAATTTATAATATATTTTGTTGAATCAACTTTATCATTAATTATTTATTTTAACCACATGATCCTCAAAGTATATGAATATGTATATAATTATTATCACAAGTTGAATTAGAAAAGAAATTACAAATATATACAAATCTATGTGGATAATATCTTTAAATACTACATGATTCTTAGTCCATTTGCTAAGTGTTAAAATCTTTTATCAAAAATACTATAAAATTTAGAATTTGAAAGTATATTGTCTCGATAACTTTTACTATAAATAATTATAATTAAGAAATTAAAAAATAAATGGTCAAATAAATAAATAAATAATTTTTTTTTTAAGTTTTGTAAATTTTTTGGGGCTCCGTTTAATCCTGAACTTGAATTGTCCCCTCTCTAACCTAGGTTGGAATTGTCTATATATGTATGCACTTAACAATATAAAAATTATATTTGAATACAATAATGATATAGCATACACGTAAAAGAAAATTTATCATTGTATATATACTTTCCCTTCATCTTAATTCTTTTTCTATTTTCTTTTTTATTTTTTCATCAGATCACCTATCATTTCTCTTACTTTAATTTATCTCTCTACTTCCCCCGCCCTTTTTTTTTCTCTATCCTCTTCTCTATTTCCACCCTACCAAAATCACTGATCAATATAAAATATTCATATATAATTCACATATAAATGCATATAAGTTATGAGATGCATAAATCACAATAAATATATATAACTTACATAAATATATAAACTTTTATATATATATATATATATATATATATAATGCGTAAGAAATATGATTGTAATGTGATTCATCTTATCAGATGCTTTGAACACAGACACGACAGAGG